GGGCGTTTTGCCCCATACCCTGGGTAATACGCCCACACCCATGTGCAAAGCGCCCCCACCCCATCCAGCAACAGAAAATGATGAACATGGCAGAACTTGACGTCATTCTGACGTCATTTGTGGTCAACCTATCATAGCCTTTGGAATAAAATTTTGTTGCAATGTGTAAAATGGATGCCCGGAGGAGTCCTGAAAGTTTAGTGACGATATCTGCAGTCGTTTAGGATATATCAGCAAAAAAGGACGGGGAGAGGCCTTTTCGGCACCCACCTACAGGGCGCTACCCTGCACTCTCACCACCGTGCAAAACGCCCCCCTTTCAGAAAACTGGGGGCGTCTTGCCCCATGCATCGAGTAGGCGTCTTTCCCCATCCACTCCATTTCCGGTCAACAAAATATTGACAAAAAACGCGCCACTAACGCCGTAGCATAATAAATTCAACAGAATGGCAATAAAACGCAGTTTTTAGTGATGTGCGCAATAGCAAATTTTGTGACATAAAGAGGGCATCAAAATCTTAGGAATCTTCTGTAAAAACAACAAAAACAACACCCAAAACCAACATCAGCACCTACCCACGCTGCTCCTCAAGACGCAGAACCGGAAATAGAGACCTACGTAAACAAGCAGCTGACTGTTCTGAAAGACAGGATAAAACACCTATCCGTCGATAAGAAATACGAGTTTTTTAGGGGAGGCGTTTAACCCAGGGGTGCGTTTTCCCCACAGTTACCCTACGTCTAGTTTTTGACTTGCTTTTTTAATGAAATTCCAACAAAATCCATTCAAAATTCTTTGAAAATGACGTTAAATATTTTTAATTTGACCGAGACGCGTTCGTTCAAAGCGTCTGGGTTAGGGAAAGCGAGTCCTGTCAAGCCGTTTTGGCCTGAAAACTACGCAAATTTAAAAATATAATCATGTACCGAGCAACAGTCGCGTTGCACTGCCACTCTGGCTGCGGAGCACTGTCAAAAACCGATGTGCAGCATGCTCGCTGTCCACATACGCGCCATGGCGAGCCAAGCATCAGCATTCACTCCGCTCTATCGTCAAACTCGCATCCTACAACGACTTTCTAAAACAATTTCGCTAGGTAAGTACCACAAAGTCACGTCTACTACCGCTTTCTATAAGCCAGCACTTGTCCCACCTTGCATCTGCACGGGTCACGTCATACCTCGCAAATAACGGGTACCTACTGATATATCACATGCTATTACATCTTACTCTAGCTAGGTACTGAACATTTCCGGACTGCACCATGTGAATGGCACACCCCGCGAACTCACGCCTGCCGTGTCACTGAGCGCGCGCCGGGCCCTACCTGCTCCACCAGTCGGGTGATCTTCCTCTCCTCCTCTGCCTCCACCTTGTGCAGGTGCTGCACGCGCTGCAGCAGCTCCTCCCGCTCGCGGTCGGCTCTCTCCTTGTCGCGCGCCACCCGCCGGTGGCTCTCGCGCAGCTTGGCATGCGCGTCCCGCAGCTCGAGCAGGTCCTCGTTCAGCTGAGACAGCGGCAGAAAAGAGAAGGCTGTGAGGTGGGCTGCGGTCCTGCTGGTTCTAACGTGCCGGTACCCCTTCCCCGTTACCCTAATCCACTAATCCAGACAAAGAGCATTGAAATAATCACTAGAAGACTCAAATCTGTCAAAATAAATTAATTGCACCTTTGACCCTGAGGAAGAAGACGGGCTCTCGTTTGCAGTGAATAGGTCAACACCATTTCGATCAGCTTGCACAATGCACATGGTCCTTTTGTTGTAACTGGCAAATGAGCAAACTTGTGAAGTGCTTTGGAAATGACGCGTCCCTTGCAGTGTGTGTCCCTCTCATGGTCAAGTGAATTTGTTTTCGATGCTATACTATCTTGTGACCCTAAAAACATTTGAGTCGCCTTCAAATGTGCGCCAGACGTGCTTAGGTACTCTACAAGTGAATTTGGATCGGTGACTTTTTAGAGAAACCACCAGGATTTGACCGTAGACGCAGACTACGAATTCACACATATGAACACCAAAAACGCTTTCACCCCCACCACCCATGGGTGGCGGGGATTATAAACGTCCTGCAGGACGTTTATAATGCACACCACGTCGTTAAGACGGCGATCCAGACAGTCACCCTAGGCAGACGCTGGTTGCTATGGAAACGGCACAGTGTCCGCTGGCCTGGATCGCTGCGGTCATTGGCCTATTTACCGCCTCAGCCGGCTTGCAGCATGTAATACAGTAGTCTTATCTTGCAGCCCCGCGCTCGTGCATAGTCGACCGATTCCAAACTGCCGTAAGCGACCCATCACGCGAATCACGCGGCACCTGCGCTGTTGAACTTGGGCTAGGCGACTCGGTAGCGTATCCTTCTACCTCGTAGCAACTGTGATATATTCATTTATAATGACATGCTGACAGGCAAATCAACGCATGAGCAAATTTTATACAAGAAGTGGTAAAGTAGTTCCAAGCTGCTTTGCTTACCTATGTTAGAACGAGTTTGTTAACCCTAAATAAAAAAAATCATACCCGTTTCATTTGAGCGGTCTCTGTAATTCCATATAGGTATAAGGTAGGTCCCTAATTTGAAGTGAACTGAAAGACGTCAGGCACCTCTGTAAGGGCACACCGCGCATGCATGCGCGTCTGACAGTGCAGCAGACGCCGCTCCGGCCGTTCCACTTTAACGCTCATCGCGAGCCGCTCCAGTGCTCCGGCCGACGCGACGGCTGACCGCAGGTGCACCCGGCTGGACGCTATAAATGCAGCCGGTGTGCTCGTTTTCACGACCGAGGCTGCACGAGCTACCTCAGCCCGGGGGCGAGACGAGCCGATTGGTCGAATGGAGCGGCCGAGAGTGGGTCACGATAACAGCAACGGAGAGAGCGAGAGGGTCGCTGCAGAGAGATAGAGATAGAGAGAGAGAGAGAGAGAGAGAGAGAGAGAGAGAGAGAGAGAGAGAGAGAGAGAGAGAGAGAGAGAGAGAGAGAGAGAGAGAGAGAGAGAGACCCTGCAGTCTGCAGGGAGAGGGAGCAGCGCGGGAGACAGTGGGAGCGCCGTTGCATAGCTGGGAGCTCACACCGAGATAAACTCCGGGCAGGGAGACCGATTCCGTGGGGAGACTGAGGCGGCTCTGAGAGACTGATTGCGGCTCCGGGGATACTGAGAGTGATATACCGGGGATATTATGTGATATAAAGGCATTTATTTTCCATTTTGTGTCACCCTCGGTCCTACACCCCACCCAACCCCACCGCTCAACAACTAAAAGTACACCGGGGCAGCCATGGCCATGAGTTGCTCCCCCTCCCCCTAAACCACACGTCTGGATCTCCCTGAGATTAGTTTTATTGCTAGGTATACCTACATATAACAACCACACTCGCGCTCAGAAACGTTTCTTGGCATGAATCATGCATCCGTTGCAGTGCAACAGATGCAGATCTATAAGATCTCTATATGTGGCCACCGCCTACCTACATGCTGTGTATGCATACCGATGCCAAACAACTCATCTGTAGCGGTAGTCGTTCGCCTGGATGCTGACCCGGGGTAAGGTATGCCACGCTAAAACGCTAAAGCCACGCTTAATATGACCGTGGCCACTCGGTACTGTCATGGTTTACTCACTGGCCTATGCAAATTGCGCCACGGAGGATACAACTTCCCCCTGCAGAGCACTCAGCGTAGTTGAGCACTCATGAGTAGTTTGAGCTCTCATTGTTTGTAGACTGTGGCAGAAACGCTTGCCTCCTTCGGTAGAAACGCTCGGCTGAATTGGACGAAGTTGGCCTTTTCGACCTTTATGTCATGTCACAGGTTAAGGTAAATCATCGAGGTAATCGAGACGGTTGTGTATCATCTCGATAAAATCTTTCTAAAACCATTTGAATTTTCCGATCCGACTATCGCTTCCAGAGATACGAGGGGCCCCGGCCCTCCCCCCAACAGGACCTAGAACCTGACCAGGGGCGTAGCAGGATTTCCTCAAGGAGGGGGCCAAACTTACAGAGGCCCAAGATAACTCCCCTCAAAATCCAAAAAGTATTCGGATTCCATCTACTATTTTTACAGGGGGCCCAAATAAATAGGAAAAATATTTATTATCATAGAAAAGAAAAAAATATTACAACTGAGGGGCAAGCAAGGCCTACGAACAGCTTCATAGAGTCCCTTAGCCGGTTCTGAGGGCAGTCTGAGGGCCCCGTAGGTCGGATGAAGGTCCTTCAGACCTCAAAGGCCCCTATAGCCCATGAGAGCCTCGTAAGTCGTCTGAGGGGCTCCCTTGGGGCTCCCTTGGCCAAATTATGGCAACGCAGCTGCATCAAATGGATCTGTCGCAGGAGCCTTTGCGTCGCCCAGGGCTACTGTGCCAGCCAAGGGCCCCTATGGAAAAGGGGCCCCCGGCCTGGCGCGATGGGGGTCCTTTTGGGCTCCAAGGGGGCATGGTCCCTATGCCCCACCCCCCTCGGCTACGCCCCTGGCAGACCTAAAGGAGGCGCGGATTATCGGATAGTCCGCAAACAAACGTCTCGTGGTAGCAGTGAACCCTTCAATTTAGAAAATAATTTTTATCGTTTCATGAAGCTGTGAATGTTATAATGAACGACTGTATCAGCCAGCAGTAGCACGGGCGTTATCGTTGACACCGCGACTTATCACCTCAGTCCTGAACCCCACTCTATGACAACAGAATGAGTGGGCGTATCACGCCGTCTCATATCTCCCTCTCATCCCTGTTTGCATTGTTTATCGGCCCATTCAAAACGGCCAGCACCGCCAGCGTCCGTACCTACTATAAATCCTGAGCACGCTGTGGCGCTTCAGTTCTGTCACAGACGATGTTCGTGATACTACCTTCTGTGCTCGCCACTCGGTGACCATTATGTTCGCTTCTTTGCTTCTCAGCCGTGATAACTGAAGGCATTTGAAACAAACGCTGTTATTGTACCAGACGCGAAGGCCAGCTAAAGAGTTGATCTGTTGGCCGAGGGGAGGTATTCTGACTGAAGCCGTCACTCGAGGAACACGCTTCGAGCAGACCCAAAACTGACCTGACATACGACAACGACCACCCGGCACGGCCCATTGCTATTTCCCGGAACAAACATAAGGCAGGTAAGACTCAACAGCAAGCATTGCTATAATACGTATGATCTTGAACGATCTGCTGCACTGCGTCTCGACATTACTGCCGATGGCCGGTGTATTTACTGTTTTGTTCGAAAAGATCCGCGGTTAATTCGTTGTAACCTACTCGAAAAGGAGCAGGCTGAATCTCGAGAAATGTTTCCCGCAAGAAATTAACTGCAGTATTGAGAGGCAAAACATGCGATTAAATTGGTCGAAATTGCAACTTGTACTTACGCTTGTAGTTATGGATGAAAAACGTTCGAGTGATTATTGTCTGACAGCTATTATAATTATCTGACGCCGGTCGCTGTCCCACCCAGCAGATCATGCAGTCGGTAGCGGTACGATGGCTGCTCATACTCCTGACCTGGAGCCAGTGCAGCGGCCGCTGGGTAGCCAAGCCAGGCGCCCTGGAGGCCGCCCTCCATCGGCCCCGCTCCCACCGAGAAGCGGGCGCCGCGGACCCGCCGTGCCTCTCGGCCGTGTGCCGCTGGGAGGCATTCCGCGCGGCCACACTGCCCGGTGAGACGCGCCGCTGGCCAGCCGGTGCCTCGCTGGCGCTGGCGCAGCTCCGTCTGACCGCCGGGCCGGACTCGCAGCGGCTGGCGCGCCACTGCCGGCGGCTCCAGCTCGGCTGCGTACACCCGCTGTGCCCGTGCGGCCCGCGCCGGACGGCAGCTCGCGGCGACACACCCAGTCATGATGACATGTGTGATATGCTCTGCGGCATCGGCGAGGGGGGTAGCGAGTGCGAGTGCATGAGGCCGCCGGCGGCCGTCGGGCCGTTGCCGGCGCGCTGACGCGCCGCTCGGGTCTTTGTCCCGGAGGCAGACGGCCCCACCGGATGGGTGACGGACCAAGGTGATGTGATTGGAGGTCATGGGGCGCAGTGTGTCCTGCCGTAACGGTGTGAGCACTGAGCATTGTGATGGGAAGTCGCCTCCACGATTCGCCGCTGGATGAATGGCCCGGCGCTGCCCCCTGTCGGTCGGTGCTGCGACCTTAGCGTCATCTGGGCAGACGAGAAACGGCGCAGCGTAGGCCTGCGAGCTACGGAAATGCGTTTTTTCGGATTCGATGTCTTATTTCGGTCATGTTTGATAGACGTGAGATGAAAAAGTGCGGAGAGTTACATTGCTTTGTGGGTTTATACTTGGAGTGTCGTTGAAGAGCAGAAGATTTGTCTATAAAAAAACTCCGTGCAGGTACAAATCCGTATAATAAAAAGTTTACGGAGCATCGCTGACCGCTGTTAATATTTGCAAAGACTGAATCGTGAAAAAGATGAACATCTGTCCTTAATCCTTGCGTTCCTCAGATCAAGCCCATCCGCATCCCCCTCACGCTTCTCTTTCTGGGCTGGCGGTCACTCCACCAGATAGCCGGTATCGAGGATATGCGTTTGAACCATATCCTCTCCGGGGTAATTATTTACCTGAGAGAGCGGTCCCATCGGGAAATTCCCGTCCCATCGGGACCATCTCTGCCACAGCGGCGTCAGTGGTCCGTCAGTGTAATAAGTTCACCCTATTCTATCATCTTATAGCACTGCATAAACTCCTAACGCAATAAACAACTAGGTATAAATAATAGAATCGATATGGAACTTATCGGTTTAAATCCAGAACGATTTCAAGACCTCTGATATGTATCTGGTTTCTGAACAAGATGCTAAGTGAGCTCGTAAATGTACTCGTAAATACAATGCTGAAAAAGACAAAACCTATGCAAGCAAAATACCTACGCATTGCTTGGGCTAAAATGAAACCAAACATGAAGCAAAAGTAGGTAAGGATGCTGTTACAATGCAAAATCGACTTCGTTGAAATGAAATGATAAAAGCATAAGTGCGAATGAAAGAAAGAGGTGCAGATGGAAATGACCCGCTATTTCCAACACCTGCACATGCACTTTAGAAATACCTATGTGATATGCTCGCCGCCGACAGAAGGCAGGCCGGCGGCTGTTGACACACATCTCTCTCACCTCCTTCGCTTTCCTCTTGGAATCTACAGTCTCATCCTCCATTGACCGCTTCACCTGCTCCACTTTCCGCTTCGATTCGGCCCGTTCGTTTTCGAGCTGCCTCTCCACCTAGCAAACGTGAGGTGCTGTCAGAGATATGGAGGATGTGGCTTTTGATGCTAAAACACGAATCAAGTATCCGCCCATGTAAGCCGGTCCATGGGAGCGGCAGAACATTCAGCCGAACGGTGATATGAGCCTATATGGTTCGCCCCGACGCTCAATATGATATCTTGATAGGGATAGCATCCGATCAGGCACGGTGATCGCATCCGATACTACAGGTTCAGGTCTTTTTAGCACGCCGGATGATGGACAGGCCATTTCTGGATATCGTGACGCGCTAAATATTTCACTTTGACTCTCCCCTTCCTGGGATTTCCCGATTGGGAGAATGGTTACAACAAAACAAGGATTCTTCAAAGTGGTTTACCATGAAAGATACTAACATTTTGTCACAGTTCCATTACAACGGTCTCAAAGGGTCAAAATAATACATGTATGACGTCACTTTTTTGGCCTAGATCTGACGAATGACACCCGTCCAAACCTCCCCTTCCCTCACACACGCAGTCCCACTGTGCCTTGCCTCATGTAGTGTGTTTTTCAGCTCCTCAGCCAGTTTTGAGGTGTCCTGGATCAGCCTCTGGTGCTCAGCCCGCTCCTTGCTCCAGGCCAGCTCCATGCGCGCTCGTATACCCGAGATTCGCGCGTGACCCGACGACATAATCCTGTCCTCCTCCAGCTGGCAGCAGGTGAGGTCAGGTGGGGTCAACACAGGTCAGATGGCTCAGTACAGGTCAGGTCAGATCGGGTCAGCACAGGTCAGGTCAGATGGGGTCAGCACAGGTCAGGTCAGGTGGGTTCAGCACAGGTCAGGCAAATTAGACGAACACAGGTCAGGTCAGATGGTTTCAGCACAGGTCAGGTCAGATGGGGTCAGCACAGGTCAGGCAAATTAGACAAACACAGGTCAGGTCAGATAGGGTCAGCACAGGTCAGGTCAGGTATAGGGTCAGCCCAGGTCAGATGGGTCAGTACAGGTCAGGTCAGATGGGGTCAGCATAGGTCAGGTCAGATGGGGTCAGCACAGGTCAGGTCAGATGGGTTCAGCACAGGTCAGGTCAGATGGGCTCAGCACAGGTCAGGTCAGATGGGCTCAGCACAGGTCAGATGGTTCAGTACAGGTCAGCCGGATCAGATGCAGATGGGATCAGAACAGTTAAAATCAGGGTTGGCATTTTTGCCGGCAAAAACTAGTTTATGCCATTTGCCGGTTTAAACCGGTTTTAACCGGCAAAAAGTGGCAAAAACTGGCAAAAACTAAAAACCATCACAATGATATGCCTAGACATGGATTTAAAGATGAAACATTTTGAGGAGAATTCGGTGAAAGCTTTATGCTTTCAAACAGAAGTGACATTGACCGTTGAAGTGCTCTATAGCTCAAAAACTGAAAACATTTTCATGGGCTTTCCATAAGGAGCCAGTAAGACGCCTTTTGGGGTTGACAAATGAGCCAGTGCAAGAGTGAGTCCTGCACAATCAGAAGTGCGAAGGGGTATCTGCCACTGATATGAGCATTGCACCCTACCGTGGCCGCTTTGCCCACTCTCCCCTACATGGAAATACATTCTGTGGTGGATGCCTACCGACATGCATAGATATTTTAAGCAGGGATAAGTATTGAGGCAAACTTCAGAATTTTTGGTGCATCTCTTTAACATCCAGAAATGCATTTGTACCTTTCAGATCCATTCCTAACTAGAAAAGTTGTGGCTTGGGCCACCTGAGTTTTATCCAGTTTTTGCCAGTTTTTGCCACCGCGGTTTCTGCCAGCCGGTTTAAACCGGTTAAAACCACTGGCAAAAACCAGTTTTTGCCACCCCCTGCCAACCCTGGTTAAAATGGGTCAGTACAGGTCAGATTCGACTCAAATGGGAAGGACATCAATAAAACGGGTAAAGGCGGTGCCACAGTGAAAGATGACAAATAAAAAAAAAAAATATTTGATTTTATGGGTAGGCACATATTGCATGAAAATGGCCAAATAGCCCATAAGCGCCAACGAAGCATTACCTGATATTTTATTATAAAAAATGGCGATGGTCTGACTAGCAGAATTTAGAAAACAATTAAATAGCTAATCTGTGGCAATATTTATGGTGGCACGCATGTTGACGAGCATGAAACTTCAAGGAAAATGACGGTGAAACACAAAACAATTTTTAAATCCACGTATGGGTGTAGCAAATACCCCAATTTTCCCGGATCATCGACACCAAGCAAGTCCGACGACGTGCCGCCCACCTCGTTGATTTTGGTCTGCAGGTCGTGGACGCGGATCTCCCAGGAGGACCTCTCGGTAGTGGCCTCGGTCCTGAGCTTGCTGGCCTCGAGACGCGCGGCTGACAGCTGGTCCTCGAGACTGGTCAGCTGCAGGGTCAGCTCCCGCACCCGCTGGTTCGTCTCCGCCAGCTGGCCGGGGAAAACAGAGCCGTGTGTGTCAGACGGAGGGGAGGAGAGAGAGAGAGAGAGAGAGAGAGAGAGAGAGAGAGAGAGAGAGAGAGAGAGAGAGAGAGAGAGAGAGAGAGAGAGAGAGAGAGAGAGAGAGAGAGAGAGAGAGAGAGAGAGAGAGAGAGAGAGAGAGAGAGAGAGAGAGAGAGAGAGAGAGAGAGAGAGAGAGAGAGAGGAGAGAGAGAGAGAGAGAGAGGAATAGGGAATGGCGATAAAAAAACGAGACGATGATCCCAAGTTAGTGTTATAGGTAATTAACCCGGCACCGCCTGGGCTATTTCCGTACCCACATCAGCCTGGGGGGGGGGGGGGTCGGATCCGACCCCCCCTGTTATCTCGAGAACCAATGGTCGTATCGAGCCCCGCGAGGCGGCGTTCGAAAGGTCTCTACGAGACCTTCCCAAAGCACTCTTAAGATTTTAAGATTGAAGTCAACTTTCGGGTCAAGGTCAGGTCAAAGGTCAAATTCAGGGGTTTTGCATGATTAGGCTTACGGACAGCGGAATCGATAGCTGCTGCTCGAAACTCATCACAAATGACCTCAAAGACCTAGTGAAGGCACCATGTGCGTATAGGGGTCATACTAAGTACGGGTCAAGGTCAGGTCAGGTCACGAAAGGTCACGGTTTTCACTTTCTGCTACATGGGCGTGCGACACATGTTTTATGGCTTATTTTTTCACGCCAAATCCGATGGTAATGGTTATATGTGACCCCAAGTCACTGTGCTGGTGATAAGGGTGCATTGAAAGCATAAAAAATCGTTAATTCCATACATAACTAAACGAGGGCTAAGAAAAAAAGTCAATTTTTCAACTTTTTATTTTTGACATAAAAATGCACTTTTCTAGACGAGCTTTGTCCCAGGAATCTAGTGGTGCCATTTGTTTTCACATGCGATGTTCAGAAGTGCATCTAATTCGCGAAAATGCTTATGACGTCACCATGCCCTATGCATGTTGGAGCTATTTTTTACAATTTGGGGGTCAAAAATCAAGATAGAAAGTTGAAATTTGGGACATCTAATGTTCTAATAAAGCTCTATAACATATATTCCGGTTTTTTGGAAATTCTCAAAATTTTGGATTTTATTAGCTGTTTTCCAAAAAATACAGTTTTTTGAATTTTTAGTGGTGAAAAACGTATTTTATGGAAAATCCGAGATAGCCATTTTGAAGAACTCGTTGAGCTGCGTCTTTTCATGTCCTAAATTTGCAATTTGCTTAAAACCTCGATTTTTGGCGATTTTTTAAACATTTACCATTTTTTGACTGAAAACGCCATGTAGTTACATCACTAAAATCGATATATC